CATTCTTGCATTTTCCATTTCTTCTCTTCTATAGTTCCTAATATTCTACTCAGTTTACTCATTTAGTATTATCCTGATTTTATTTATGTTCGTACATTTCTAAAAATGAGTGTATTCACATCAACTGCATATATATATATATATATATATATATATATATATATATATATGATATATAACGTGAAATGTTCTCAATAACCAGTGTAGCAAGTTTATGGACTTAACAAAAATTAAAGGCATTTATTTAAGTGAGAGGTAAAACTTGCTATTCCAAAGGAACTGGATTAGCATGCCTATAAAAGAGTAGAATATAAAGATGAATTAGTAAATGCTTGGGGTTACAGCTAAAATCCATTAAATTCACTGCCAAGACCAATGTCATGAAACATTTCCATTTGTTTTCATATAAGAGTTTTACACTTTCAGGTCCTATGTTTAAAGTCTTTAATCCATTTTGAGTTGGTTTTTTGTGTGTGGTGTAACATCAGGATCCAGTTTCATCCTTTTACATGTGGACATTCAGTTTCCCAGGACAATTTTTTGAAAAGACTCTTTTCTCCAATGTATAACAGGTGCTTTTGTTGAAGATAAGTTAACTGCACATTCATGGATTTATTTCTGGACTCTGTTCTATTCCATTTGTCTACATATGTCTTTATACAAGTACCATATTATTTTACTTACTATAGTTTTATATATATGTATATAAATATACATATATATTTCATGTACACATATATATATACACACATATATATATATATATATTATTTGAAATCGAGAAGGATAATGCCCCCAGATTTGTTCTTTCTCAAGATCACTTTAATTATTCTGGATCTTTTGTTGTTGTATATGAATTTTATGACTTTTTTTCCTATTTCTGTAGAAATTTTTTCTATTCCTATTTCCATTTTTGTTTTTTTTTTAATGGAAATAGCACTGTATCATAGATTATTTTGGGTAATATGAGCATTTTTAAAAATATTTGTTCTTCCAAACCATGAGCATGAAATGTCTTTCCATTTATTTGTATCGTTAATTACTTTTATTAATGTATTATATTTTTCAGCGTACAATCTTTCTCCTACTTGGTTAAGTTTGTTCCCAAGTACTTTATTCTCTTTGATACTATTGTTAGTGGGATTGCTTCCTTAAATGCTTTTCAGATATCTCATTTTATATTATAGAAACACAACAAATTTTATATGTTGATTTTGTACACTGAAACTTTACTGAATATGTTTATTAGTTCTAATTGTTTGTGGAGGCTTTGTAGTTCTTTTTACTTATAGGTTCCTGTCATCTGCAAACAAGGACAATTTTACTTTTTCCTTTCTGATTTTAATGCCTTTGATTTTACTTTTTCTTGCCCAATTGTTGTGGCTAGGACTTCCAGTGAATGTTGACTTGAAATGGTGAATTGAAATCTTTGTCTTATTCCTCATTTGGAAAGGAATGTTTTCCATTTTTTAACCATTGAATATATGATGTTAGCTGTGAGCTTGTTATATATGACCCTTACTACTTTAAGGTATTCCATGTGTAGTATTGAGCATTTTTATCATGAAAGACTGTGTCAAATACTTTTTCTGTATCTAATGGATGATCAAGTGGTTTTTACTCTTCATTCTCTTTTTCTTTTAATGTGAAAATCACGCTTATTGATCTTCATACTTTGAACCATGCTTGTATTCCAGAGATGAATCCCCACATGATCATGGTGTTATGATCTTGTTAGTGTACTATTAGCCTCAGTTTGGTAATATTGTATTGATGAATTCTGCATGTATGTTCAGCAGGGATATCGGCCTATGATTTTATCAAAAGCACAGGGAATACCAACAAAAATAGACAATGTGGACCTTATCCAGCTAAAAAGTTGCTTCATGGCAAAGGAAACAACCAAGAGAATGAAAAGGCAACCTATGCAGTGGGAAAACATATTTTCAACTCATTGTCTGATAAGTGTTTAATTTCCATATATATATATATATAAGGAACTTTTATAACTTAATTTAAAAAAAGAGGAAACAACCTAATTTTTTAAAAGAATGGGCAATGAGAACAGACATTTCTCCAAAAGAAGACATAGAAATTGCCAGTAGGTATATGAAAGGTGTCCTATTTTACAAATCATCAGAAATGCAAATAGGAACTACGATGAAATATTTTCTCACACCTGTTGGGATGGTTATTATTATAACAAAGGATAAAAATATTGTCAAGGATGTGGAGAAATTGGAACCTTTGTGCCCTGTTGGTGGGAATGAAAAATGGTGCAGCCACTATGAAAAACAGAGGTTCCTCAGAAATTAAAAATAGAACTATTATATGATACAGTAATCCAATTTCTGGGTGTGTATCCAAACAAACTGAAATCAGGATCAAAGTGATATCTGCACTCATACATTCATGGTAGTATCATTCACAATGGCCAACATACGGAAACAGCTCAAATACCTACTGACGAATGGATAAAGAAAACATTGTGTATGCATACAGTGGAATGTCTGGCCTGAAAAAGAAGGAAATCCTACCATTTGTGACAACATGAATGGGCCTGAAAGACATTATGCTAATTGAAACAAGCCAGTCACAATTATAAAATTGCACTTACATGAGTTATCTGAAAGAGTCAAACTCATAGGAACAAAATAGAATGGTGATTGTCAGGTGATATGAAGGAGAGAAAAATGAAGAGTTGTTCAATGTGCATAAAGTCACAGTTACACAAAAAGAACACATTCCAGGTATCTTTTATACAACCCAGTGCCTACAGTTAACAATAAAATATCATGTGCCTAAAAACTTAAGGGTAGAATTTATGCTGTGTTCTTACCAAAATAAATGAATTAATTAAGTTAAAAAATAAAATCTGTTAGTTTTCCCGTCTTTCTTTTTTTTTTTATTTGAGATTTTATTTATTTATTTGAGAGAGAGAGAGAGAGAGAGAGAGAGAGAGAAAGAAACATGAACAGAAGGGAAAGGCAGAGGGAGAGGGAGAAGCAGACTCCTTGCTGAGCAGGGAATCCGATGCTGGGCTTGATCCCAGGGTCCTGGGGTTATGACCTGAGCTAAAGGCAGCCGCTTTAACTGACTAAGCCACCCAGGTTCACCACCTAGTTTTCTCTCTTTATCCTTGAAAATGTTACATAATTTAGATACATAAGGAACATCTATAAATAATTTATATCCAGACTTAGGAACAAAACACTCCAAGTCTTTCACTTGTATTGTTGCTTAGAAGATGACTTTGAAAGGTCTATAAATATAGATGTAGTAAGGCCTGCATTGCTATAACTTCTAAAAATGCTATTAGCATGCTACTAACATATAATCTCAAAATATCTTCAAACTGTATTATTTTGACCTCGAAGAGCTTAAAATAACAAACAAAATAAAATAAAAACATGATTTCAGAAACTATAATTAAAAACATTTATATGACTAAATTTATGAATAAAATTATATTGAATCTACTTCTCGAATTTTCCTCAAATTTACATGCTGATAATCATTTAGTGATTCAATGATTATAGGAATTCTTGCTAGGTATTTTAAAGCTGTAACTAGGAAAATATATTGGAAAGTACTTGACCAACATTAAAAGAATATCAAAATGGAGAGTTGAAATTAAAATCTGTTACTATTGTCACCATAAAGAACAGAGAAAACCAAAGAATTCAATTACTTGTCACCTAAAATTATGTTTTTAACAGGAAGTGAATTGCAAATTGGTGTTTAGCAGAAACATATGAAAGGAGTAGAAAAATTATGGTGGATCATATCCAGATCATTAAATCCAGCTTTTTTTTTTTCTGTCTTTGTACCTTAAGAATTTTCTCTTTAAATATTTGCTTGTTATGAAGTTTGTCCTAGCCAGACCAAATATAGACCAAGATATGTTGGTAGTCAGGACTTAGAGCAAGTGCCTCCTTTCCCATTGGACCCACTAATATCTACATGTACTCATTGATTTAAAGAGAAATAAGAAGATTCCTGAGACAATACTTCATCTTGTTCAAAAACTTGGTTCAGAGAAATGGGCATGCCAAACTAGACAGCCCTCCAAATATCAGGGCCCCTGCAACAAATTAGATCAGTAAGACATGTAAAAAGATATGACAATCAGACTGAGAATCAAGGACCATAGTTATTCCGTGTACAACCAGACCCAAACCTAAAGTTACCATACTGTGGCACATGTAACTGGGGGAAGGAAGTGTCTGGGGGTTTTCCCATAGACAGCTCACTTGATAAACACTGTATAATAGTACTTTGAAGTCCAAGCAATTGAGCTATTACTAAAAATCCATCTTTAACATCCCCACCCTATCCATATCTCTTTCGCTAAGTAATATATATATATATATATATATATATTTTTTTTTTTTTTTTAAAGAGTGGTGCATTTTTCTTATTACTTTTATAACCAGGAAACATGTAGAGCAAAGGCAAAGGGTTTCTACCACTAAATGGAGAGAACAGCCCAGGGATGGATGTTAGTGCCGGGGCAGTGAGTGTCTTATGGTGGCAGTAACCAGTGCCTGTGGCAGAGAAGCCCTGATGTACGGCCCGTGGGCCACCCACTGCAAGGCAACTGACAGAAAAAGAAAGATATTAATTTATCGAACCTATAGAAGCCTCGTTGCTGTATTTTTGGGAACTTGAAATCCCCAAGTCCTTTGGGAAGAGGGATTTTGAGAGGAATTTAAATTCCTGTGTGGGTAAATGGGAAGACAAGACCTGAAACATGGCAGGCACACTTGCAAAGGAAACAAAATCATTCTGGTGTTGTATTAAACATTTCACAAGCCTCTGGTTTAATTCTCAAATTTTAAGATTCTTCTCTTTCCTAGCTCTGAAACTGTTTTTTTTTGTTTTGTTTTGTTTTGTTTTGTTTTTTTAATGCATTGTTCATTTTGAAGAGTTTTCTGGTGCTTTTGCTTTTTGAAAAAGGCCTAATTGTAAAGTTGTGGGTATAAGTGTTCAATACATACGGGTCTTTCTAGCAGAATCTTCCACAAAAAGAGAAGAGATGTCTTCATCCACTCCTGCTTCATTCTTTGCGATACAAGTGTATGCTCCCGTATCTTCATAGCGCACGTTGCTTATATGAACCTCACTGCCATTTGCTGAAAACAGAAGGCAAATGCAACTTGTAAACTATGAATTCAGTTTTGGTACAGCGCTTTCCGATTACACAGTCAAGCAGTTCTCTTAGCTTGTCCTAATTAAAGTGTTTTCCTTCCTACTTCCATGCTTTGGAGGCATGCCAAATTATTCCAAAAGCACTCAAGTGTTTCGTAAACTGTGTTGTCATTCTATTGCAGAGAGCCCAAAACTCTATGTCAAATGTACATGCTTCATATTTTACATTTGTTTCCTGTTTTCCGCATTTCATATTTCACATTGATAAGTATAATTCCATTTATGTATTTATTTTTAGTACTTAGAATCCACTTTTCCCCAACCTTTATAAAATTTTAAAATAATAGCAATATGGCTGAAATACAGGAGCATATGTATAAAAGGACTTCATAAAGAAATTCAGTGAGCTACATCATGGAAGTATAGTATGATTGTCACTTATCGAGTACATTATTGAGCAGGTATTATATGTCTGGAATTATAAGGTAAGGAAATTATTAGGTAAGGAAAATGGAAAGATAGTAACACATGATTTGTCTGAAAGATTTCAGTCTTTTTCCAGAAATATACATAAACAATATTATATATTATAATATGGAAATTGATACAGTTATCATATAACCAAAGGATTAAGGGAATAATTAGCTTAACTTTAAATCTTGGTAAAATAACTTCTTAAGCTAAACCCTGAATAACAAGTTGCACTCCCCAATGTGGAAACCAGGGTATAATTAACCGTCAACTATATGCTGGAAATATATGAGGTGTTTTTATGTATATCATTTCTTAATTATCCTAAATAACACGTAATTATCAGAAGCAGAATCTGAGACTCCTAGAATGATCTTATGGAAATTACTCAATTCAAAAGATTAGGGCTGGACACCTGTCAGACTCTAAAATTCAGTGTTTGTTGTATTCATTTGTTTAGGTTTCCTTCTTTTTTTTTCTTCTCTTACTTTCTTTTCTTTCTTTTTTCTGTGTGTGCTTGTTTCACGTTATCCAATCACAAGAATCCCATGTACCATGTGCGACAGAAAGCAGTATGACTCTCCTAAGGCAGATAAGGGACAAAATAATCCATGTGGCTCTTTGGGGAAAGATAGAAAACCAATGGGGAAAAAAGAGCTTGGAAATGTCAATGGCTCTCAAGGGATGTGAAGGGGATCTGGAGAGGCAGTAAGCGTTTGGGGAGGAACAGCCATTCGGATAACATGAACCTTGTTCTCACTTTATAGAGGTTATTGGGCACTTCCATGCCCCCCATCCACTGCTGAGAATCACTACTCCAAAACAGAGGTTGGAGTTGTGTTTTTTGTTTTGTCTTGTTTTTTGCTGTTAAAGGCCACATACGTATTTTACGCATTGTGGGCCGTATAGTATCTGTGACAGCTACTCACCCCTGTCAGCAGCATGAAAGCAGCCATCAACAATTTTTAAAACACAAGTGTGGCTGTGTTCTAAAAACAAAAACAAAGCCCCCCCCCAGGTGGCTTTATTTACAAAATAGGCAGCTCCCCAAATTTGGTCTGTGGGCCTTACAGTTTGCAGACCCCTGTTCTAAAAGATAAGGAGTGAACACTATATTTAAGTTGCATCGGCCTCATGTTTTACATGAAATATGGCTCTCTCCTAGAACATACTTGCTCTCAAGACCCACACACTTAATCTGAATTCTCTAGAATTTTTTTGAAGTATCAAGTCATTTTATTCCTTCTTCAAATATTGTCTTCTCAATATTCTTATATGTTCTCCCACCTTGTATGCTCCACTGTCTTCCTCCTTCTCTACCGTTTCTAGATGTTCTCTAGTCTATTGCCAGAACTAGCAATTCCCTAGTCCGTTTATCATTCTGACACATATGCCTTAGCAACTGCCAAGACTAGAGCACGCTGACATATCTCTGCACTTGGTGTTCGTGCATCTAGGTTTTTGAGTACATTAAGAGACTATTGCATAAGCAAACTTACAGACTTTCAACTTCACAGTTTTCAGCGTGCAGGATGCTAGGTGCTACTTGGTATTCATTTCATTTGACCTTTACAGATATGTGCCTTTCATTTCCTGCTCCATTTTTATTTCAAATCTTTACTCTGTGTGATGTTTCCCATCCTAATCTAACTTCTCGCCCTAAAGTGACCTTGTTTTTGAATCATGAAGGTCATACGTGTAATTAGCAAGTAAACCCAAATCGTTTTTCAGTATATATGCTTATTTAATCATCACACTTTATACCTTAAACTTACACAATGCTATGTCAATTATATTTCAATAAAACCTGGGAAAACAAGTAAAGCCAACTTCCTATTTCCATCTACATATTCACATTTATTTACTTCTCAAAGGAAACTCTCGGTTCTTTCCAGGGGAAAATCTCTCTTTTTTTTTCTTTCTGATTTTTACAATTACTTGATCATCCTTCCCCCACCTCCATTATCTGCACATCTTCTTTACTAACATTTCTTCAGATTGATGCATTGTTTAAGAAGAAAAAATATCTCCATTAAGTCCTGATAGTTTCCATCAGCAGCAACTACCTTTTCCTCGGTCCTCCTTTCAAAATCTGGAGAGGTTTTTTATATTTTCTTGCCTCCTTCTCATTTCTAAACCCATGGAGGCCTGATGGCTACAAATCATTTTTCTAAATGCCAAAAGGCCAAACTAATCACTAGACCTATGAATACATTTCAGTGACTTTCCTATACCTTTCTATGACTTTGATATTGTTGAATCTTCCCATACTTAGCTTTCTTTTCTTCTGTAGGATCACCTTGTTCTCTTGCATGCTGCTGATTTTTAGTCTCCTGTGTTATTTATCTTGGTTTGCCTTCCAATTAAACATCTCTGCTTTTCTAAGTGTTTACTTCCTCTCATTAACATATTGTCCCATCCACTGGCGCAGTTATTCAATCCATGCCTAGATGGGGACCTCACATATAAATGCTAACTAAGTATTTGCTGAATGAATGGATAATTAAATAACAGTAGTATTTTGTGATATGTAACCATATAGAAAGCCATATGGAATTTCACATACCTATGCACCTAGATTTCTGCTCCCTACTCACCTCTCATCTGTCACATTCTCTCAAAACTTCAGCTATTTTCTCTTGTTTTTAAAAATGATAATAACTATCTTACAAGGGCCCCCACTGTTTCACTGTTGAATCTGGAGCGTATCCAACCCCCTAAATGTGCCTTCCTGTATGTTCCTAGAAGTAAAGATATAATATGTTCATTTAATATGGTTTACTGCTATTAAATGGCCAAGAGATAACAAAACCAGAAACTAAATAGAACTTTCTTCACTGTAATTTCTATTAATCAGATCAATCCTTTTCTAAGATTATAGATCCTAAAGATGTAATCAGTAGATGTAAACATGTAAATTTGTTGGGTTTACTTCTATTAATATAGAAATTTGTAGGATTCAGGTTTTAAAGGTCACAATTCCTTTCATATGTCATTTTTCACTTGCAAAAATAAATTAGTAAATATTTCAAAAAGATTTATTTAAAAATGTATATTGAAACATTCACTGTTAAGGTGGAATAAGAAGTGAAGTCTATGTTTATACAAATAAAGCAAAAGTGAAAATACATTCACTTCTAGCATAAACTGAAGGAATTTAAAGCATACAATAAAGAATATAATGTCATGCGTCAGATACTCCTGTAAAATGACTTGTCACATTCTATCTGGATGGTGGAAATAAGATTTATACATTTCTAAACTTACTAGTATAATCATCATAGATACAACGGGTTTGCATTATTTAGATTACTTGACATTACAAAAAAATTTTTGTTTCCTACTTATCACATGTTCATTGTTATTATAATCTGCAAAATAATTGATTAATTATATTTATACTTAGACTATTAAAATGGAATATTTTATATATTAAAATTCAGTAAGAACATTCATAACTTTCAATCTCTGATACGTATTTAGTAACTTTTTTCTTGTCTCTTCATTTGCAAGGTATGCTACAAAATATTCACTAAAGAATTTCTGTACTATTGACACTCTCTATGATATATTTTTAAAGTTCGATTTAAACATTTAAATGGCCCCTTCAGAATCTATTCTATGAAGAGAGCCACAAGCACATCTGCTATAATTCATAGGACAAGTATTTTAAAGGTACATAATGTAGTATTTTACTTATCATCAAAATAATGACATAATGAATTATTATGACAAGATTATTATGTAAAGCAATAATAGTACTAAAGTACTTTATTTCAAATATAATGTCTTAGGAACAATTATATATATTTTTTCATATGCATGACATTTTGTTTCCATCAACTAGTTTTCTTTTTTTTTTTTTTCAAATCATGTAAACTCTGTTATAAATTTTAGTGTGAAGTTTCAACATAGTCATTTAAAGGGAAAAAATGCAAATAAAAAGCACCTTGCAGTGTGAGTTGTTTGGACAGCTTCGGTGTAATATCGATTCCATTCTTCAGCCAGCCAAGCTGAGGGTTCGGTATCCCTTCTGCATGGCACCTGAGACTTGCAGTTACCCCAGGTTCTCGAGCCTGGCTCTCTGGATACACTCGGATTACTGGAGGGACTACAAAAAGAAATGGGAAAAATTTGAATTAGTAAGCCATATTCTTTGATTTCCCAAAAATTGCAATGTGAGAAAATTAATGATTATATATTTTAATGATAAATATTTCTATAGTCTTAGTTTCCAAATTCATCATCTACAAAAATATGCCAGTCATCCTTACATAAAAGTTATTCTGAGACTATGCCAGGAAAAATACAAGCTGAGCCTGGGATATGCTGTTTTGGTAATAAAAGAAGTTTTCAAGGATGATAGAAACATCAAAGAAATACAGAAGTCAGCTTAAAGGGGTTATTCACCTTTATTCACCTCCTTATTCACCAAATGTGAGAAAATTTGAACATTAAAATTCCAATTACAAAGAAATATAAGGAATTAAATAAGACTTTAAAAATTCAGTTATATAAATAAATAAATGAAAATATAAATGAGAAAATCTTTTCCTTACCCTAGCATGTTTAAAAAAACAGGATAGCAATTACATTTACAGAAGCATCCAAAAAAATAAAATATTTAGAAATAAATTTCACCAAGGCGATGAAAGACTTTTATGCTGAACACTGCAAAATGAGTTGAAAGAATTTAAAGAAAAACTAAATAAATGAAAAGGCATATGTTTATGAATTGAAATAATTAGTAAGATAGTAAGAATTGGTAAGAAATGTCAGTAAGATGACAATACTCCAAAAAATTGGTCTTGATACACAATGTAATCCCTATCACAATTCCACCTGCATTTTTTTTTTCTTTTTGCAGAAATGGAAGAGCTAATCCTCAGATTTATATGGAATTACAGGGGACCCCCAAACAGCCAAAATAGCCAAAACAATCTTGAAAAAGAATAAAACTAAAAGTCTCATAACTCTCAATTTCCAAATATACTACAATGTATGTGTATAGTATATATATATAGTTTTATACACACCTATATAGTAATCAAAATATATATGCACATGTATATATGTACACTAATCAAAACAATGCGATATTGGCATAAGGAAAAAATGTAAATCTATGGAATAGATTTAGAAAGCAGAAGTAAACCTATTAATTTATGGTTAATTGATTTTCAACAAAGATGCCAAGGAATAGTTTTTTCAAAAATTGATGCTGAAACAATGGATATCCATATGGAAAAAAGCGAATTTGAACTCCTACCTTACAACATATATAAAAATTAACTCAAATATATTAAAGACCTAAATGTAGGAGCTAACATAATAAAATAATGAAACACTTAGAAGAAAACATAAGGGTAAATTTTCCTGACCTTGTATTTTTCCATTGATTCCTAGATATAACTCCAAAACAAGCACAAAAGAAAAAAAATCAAGAAATTGATCTTCATTAAAATTAAAATTTGGGGTGCATCAAAGGATATCATCAAAGAAGTGTAAATACAACTCACAAACTAAGACAATATTTACAAATTATATCTGATAACATACTAGTATCCAGAATATATAATGAACTGTTAAAACTCAGCAACAGAAGACAAACCACCCCTTCTGCATAGCAAAGGAAACGGTCAACATAATGAAAAGGAAACCTACAGAACAGGAGAAACTATTTATAAACCAGATATTTGATAAGTAGCTAGTATCTAAAATAATATACAACGAACTCATGCAATTTAATAGAAAAAAGCAATTAAAAAACGGGCAAAGTACTTAAATCCACATTTTCCAAGGAAACTGCAACCTCAGAAAAGATCTAATACCAAGACCAGCTGACTAAGCTGTTCTCAAATTCTTAGGCTGTCTCATTTCTCTACTTATTATCTCATATCTCTATTTTCCTGTTATTATCTCCTAAGATAACGTTTGTTGTTTTCAGCCACTAAGTTTTAGTATAGTTTATTGTTTGCTAATATATATAGTAAGTTTCTTGATAGAAGTGGTTTCGCATTATTTTGTCATTATATCCCCTTACCTAATTGAGCGACAAAAGTACTGTGGAACATGAAGAAATGTTCCACAAAAGGCATATTACAGGCCTAATTACCACACATATCTTTTATTCATGCTCACACTTTATCATTTGTTATTTAGAATGACTATGAGAACATATGTACCCTGCATTTGCCTTAGTAAGAATATGTCTTGGTAAATAAGGAGAAATACCCTGGTTCTCAGTGAAAGAAGTCTCTGCAGGAGCTATCTTAGCAAAAGGCAATAGATAGAAATATTCACCTGGACCATCTTGCTCATTGGTTAACTAATATACTTTGAACTGCCTGATTTCTTCTATTTTCACCCAGTGGAATGCCTGTCCAAGATGTAAGGTCCACACTGAGACTCTCTTTAGGGTCTCAACTCTAGCACAAAGTTAGTTTCACCATTGTTTTTCCTAGTGACTGGAGGAGCCATTGTATATACAAATTAGACTAACTGATGAATAAATATCAGCCTTCTAGATTTACTGAAGTTATAAAAGCAAATCAAATCAAGAGATGAGTTGAAGCCACAATCAGGACTACAGATATCATCCTATTGGCCCCATCATTTTGGCTATACACTAGACTCATGCCAGCTCTATGGGAAGGAAGGAATCCTCAGAAATGCCCAGTAATTCTTTCAATTTGTAGCTATGTCTTTACTTTGTGAATTGCCTTTAATGGTTTCTGGAACAGAAAAACTAATAAACTTCCAAAGTTCTGAGCACCAGATTTCTGCTGCATCCTTTCACCCTCCCCTAAATTTAATTTAAAACAAACACAATACACACAAACACCGGCAGCAACATGGGAGTAAAACCACACTCTGATTTTTTTAACCCTTATGAGTACTCAAATGGTTTATTTTGAAATATCAAACATACTTTCAAAAATAGTTCTCATAAAATTTTGCACATACTTTCCTGGGAACATAGAGCACATATTTAGGCTTTTGGCATATATCTAAAAGCACAGGGTATTTTTTTGTGCCATTTTATTATATTGGAGGAGGTTCAAGTAAATAACTTTTTAGAGATATGATAATATACTTCCAGCAAAACCACATTACCATAAGATCTAGAGTAAAGAGACTTCTTTCAAATACTCAGACCTAATCTCTAATCTCTTAACAATTCAGGAGTTGGGAGATGAGCTTTTTAAAAAGACTTACATAGAGTGCCAAAATGGAAAACTACTCTTTCAATAAACATTTAATAGAAGAAAGTGCATCTTGCCACAAAACTTATAGCCAAAGTTAAGGACCAATGTTTCTTACATCATTCTTGGAATAGCAAAAAAAAAAAAAAAAAAAAAAAGAGAGAGAGAGAGAGAGACAACCTGAATATATCAAAAATTAATTTGAAAGAAGCACATCAGTCAACTCAGTGATAACAAATTCTACATCATTCATATTTAAAAATGTAGATATTATATGGGTCACTTATACTGTCATTGATATTCCTCAAAGGACAACTTTTCAAATAAGATATTCAATCTCCCTGTATTCCTAGTTGTTTCTACTTTATTGATACATCTGCAAGTGAACTGAAAGAAAAACAGTGAAAAATAATTTTTGCCATATTGAACTTTTATACCCGAATAAACACTATTATATTTTGAAGAAAAATAATCATATATTATGCTTTTCCTCTAGTATGCTGGTATCAAGTGATGGTCTGAAAAATATCTTTTAATTTACGCAGAATTGAAGGATAAGTGATTGGCATAATGACTATTTAACCTCAGTGACAAACTACACATTTAAAAGTAGGTTATTTTTCCCGGGATACATATTATGAAATATAAATGAGGATTGATGGTAGCCTGAATTAAAAAGTCAATAATCCTCCAGAGAACATTTCAAGCCATTTGTTACAGTCATTTTTAGTTAGGAAGTGCACTCTATGAACTCGTCTTTCCTTGCTGTTGGTATTGCATGAATAAAGAAACTGATGAAGACCACCAAAGAGTTTTCACATTGGATTTAGAAACCAATCTGTGTGTTATCATGAAGATCTTTAAATAAGGCTCCCAATATTTTAAGCAAAAGGTAATATTTAAAGTAAATGTCTATACAGTGAAAATTTCCTAATGATATTCAAATTCTCACCAAAATTACTCAGGAAGAAATTTATTTAATATGATATTATCTAAGAAAATCAAATGATACCTATATTAAATAGTATATTATGTGCTCATGTATATAAACATGTTAAGTAGTTGAGATTATTACATACTGATCAATTTCATTCTAGAAAATATAGTTTCTGTCTCTTAAGATGGGAGCATATACAAGAATGTAAATATATGCATTGTATTCATAAATAAAATTTAAGAAATGTATAAAATACACCGTTCTTTCTGAATTTTAAGAAAATAATTTATAAATATTTATTGGGCAACTTCTAAGGGTAGCATATTGTGCTAGATGACTATCTCCTCATCTTTCAAACGCTCTGTTTTATGCATTGACATGTTGAATAAGTATTGAGTACAGGTTTTGACATTAACCGAATGAACATTAAAAAAAATGCATTCTTGACTTAAATTGTCTTATCTGGTAGCAATCATAAAATAAATGTTCCCATAGATATAATAACTACTGGAATATGATTATTTGTAAGTTAAATGTAAAGTCTGAAAATTAGATGTTTAGCAGTTATATATAAGGTATATTTGAAGTCCTTGAAAAATTATATTTTAAAATGTAAAGGTCAAAATATTATCAAAGCATTTATAGTAGTTTGGAGAGGCATTAATTAATAACTCACCTCAAATCGAGTAACTTCTCAAAGAAACTGAACTACTTCTTTCCACGAGCCAGTTAAGATAAAATTATCATATGACTATATTGAACTAATATAATAAAATTGTATTTAGTTTATCTAATGGTTCTTAGACCATAAAGCATAATCAGATACCGTATATGGGGGACTAGTTGCTCTAAGAATACATACCTAAGGTGAATACTTTTAAACAAGCTATAGAAATTAAAATGAAAACGAGGTTTTGATACTAAAAATTAAATGTAGAATAAAAAAAGCAGATAGGCTAAAGAAAATAC